AACGCCCGTCGCCCCCCATCCGCCCCCCGCGGTAAGGGGGGGGTTAATGATCTCCCTCCCTCTGGGGGAGATGGGCGGCATATAAATTTAAATAATAATAATAATAATAATAATAATAATAATAATAATAATAATAATAATAATACTCTTTGCAGAAAATCTCACGGTTCTGCTTCGTTTTTATAATCTGATTTGACGATTATGTGTTAGCGACCACATAGGTAGATATTCTCCATGATGATCTGTCTCTGACCTAGTCCTTCAGGTTAAGATTGATGATCTATATCCCCACAAACAGAGCAATTCTGGTCCATTCCTTAACAAGGTTTATTTAATCAAAGGTAAGAGTGAACGCTTCCTGCACCATAATTACCAACAGCAATTACAGAATAAGTTCAAAATAAACTCTCCCACCCCGATGATCCTCTGTATCTACCACCAAAAAAACCTGCCTCTGTTTTCCTCTGAAAAAGATGCCTACAAGGGATAGCCGTTTCTATGCATATGCAAAATATTCCTACATTTACTAATAGAGTACGCTCACATTTAAGAAGTAGAAAGAACAGCATTATTCTATGCTAGTTTGAGACCCAGAAGGACCTGTTTCAGCCCTAAATGAAAGGACTTAAATAAAATGTTGGGGTGATTTCTTTGGGGCCACGAAAGTATATTCCGCGAGAGCTAATTTGGGGTAGTGGTTAAAGGAATTAGGCTAAAAACTGGGAGACCTGGGATTCTGTCCTAGGCAGGAAGCCCTCGGATTCTTAGAGGCGGATCCTTCCTTATGGCCAGGGTGTGGAGGAGCCCTTTCACGCACACAATTAACTTTAACATTTCCCAGTAGCTGAATTATAAACCAGAAAAATATTTGCCGTGGGGCAGGGGAAGGGGCATCAATGCTCTTTGATCCAGTCTTGGCAGTTTGGGTTGGGGCACCCTCAATATTAGTCATCCAAATGTTGACAGTATCGGTTTCTAACTGGCAAGTTTTATTATGCACCCTTTTCTGGTGTCAGGGTGGATTTCTGATGGGGAAGATGCCTGTAGAAATTGGTGGGGTAGGGTATGAAGGGCACGTTTGGAGGTCAGGCCAAGGAAGAGAAGAGCAGAAAGAGAATGAAGGTGTCTTGCAAAGGAGTTCAGATGCCAAATGCGTGCAATTGGCGTGCTCTCTGTTTAGTTGCTATTACCTTGCCATCTTGGCTCAAGTCCATATGGTTCTGGAAGGTTGGACGTTGGGCCAGTCCAACTGTCCACACCAGTCTTCCTCAGCCTTGTGCCCTTGAGAAGTGTTGAACTACAACTCAGAATTTTTGGACAGCAGATCCAAAATATCTGGAGGATACCACCCGATCAGGGAAGGTTAGATATGCATTTCCATCACTGATCAGATTAAAGGGAGTTATTCCTGTGGAGCATAAGATCACAGAAGAATTTCTGGTCCTTGAAGAACTATAGTCTGCATTCCACCAAACTGGAACTCCTGCAAGAACAGATTCTGCCCCAGTTACCAATTCTTTATATGCAAATACGTGTTTGAACCAGGATGGGCTGCTTAATGCTGACCTAAGAGTTCCATGTCCTTTTGGGACTCTGACTTATGTGACAAGTTTCTTCTTTACTTGATATAACTCAGAGCTACTGAATAATCCTCATCTGGTAGCCTGTTACTTCTGGATTTTTAGCCTCGATAGGACACCTTCTGATTTCAATAACTGAAGTTAGGAGATCAATTTTACTACTTTGCTTTGCAGTGAAATGGAATTCAGAAGAGACATTATAAAATATTAGCTTG